TAAGAAGTTAGTTTTGACATGTGTTTATAAGAAAAACTGTTTTCATTCGGAAATCACACGAAGTTAGAAAGCCGGAGATCCAGAAACCACTTACCATTGCCTTGCGAATCCATAGGCTATTGAGCTTAATATCAGTATTGCCTTCTCCTCGGACGAAGACACCCGCATGTGGTAGTGCTTCCCATTTTGCTAGTCGATCTCTCTTCCGATTAGCTCTCATGTGGGCGTCTCAGATGCCGGAATAGGACAGTAGGCTTTGTACATGCACTCGATCGCAAACTTGGAATCAGCTCTGTGTCCATCATTTTCCGACCTGTATTCCCACCCATGAATTCTGACATATTTCGTTATATCAAAGCGGAGTCAACCGGCAGTCGAAAATTTTGGCCTTTGCCGCAAAGAGAATCACAAATAAGCTTCCAAGTTGCAGTGTTCTCATTCCAGATACGGGCTGACATCATGCCCTTGGACACAACAGACCCCGAATTTGAAATTCCGGTGTTTTTAGTGCACTCGATCAATCAAAAAAAAATCATAAGCTTACAGGGAATGGCACATTTCCCTTCCCATGTCCCAGAACTTCCATGGCTCACCCATGCTTGCTTATTCCTGATCCGTGTACTTATCATAACTATTGTACATTTTTTTCAAACCCATTACATATGATAAGAAATAATAGGCCAACAGGATTGTACGCAGGCGTCATGTGTAAGGTGATATTTTATGGTGCAAACTGCCTTTATGTTTTAGATGTAGTGAGGTGATATTTTTCGATGCAGTCTGTCTGTGTTTCATCCCTTAGCTGTAAACACATATGATAAGAAAGCCGAAATTATACAGTCTGTGTTTCATTCCTTAGCATTAGACACAGAAGGAGGCATGCGTGCTGTTATCAATGTTTCTCATCGTCACTGTTCATTGATTACTCGTCTTTATAGTTTCGAAGTTTTATTTCCTACACGACATTTTAACAATTTCCTCGAACTTACAGAATTTCAACAAAGTTAGAGAACTTCAGTGATAAAAAATGGGCGGCACTCAGGCAGCTGATTGTTCTTGCAACTGAAAAACCAACTGTTCCTGCAGATCTGCCGCCAGGAAATTCCATTGTGGGAGGAAATTTCAAAACTGTTGAAGACCTGAAACTACTTGTGTCTCAAGTGACAGGTTAGCTGCTGCTTTCCGTTCATCTACATTTCGGCCAGATTTAAAATTGACTGAAAAATTGGTCAGTTTTACTCTATTCATTTTTTCGATGAGTACAACATCGAATTGAGATTCCGCTTTTGGAATGTTCAAAATCGACATAGGAAGGCAAAATTTTAATTTTAGACCCGCTTTTTCAGCCAGAAACTAGAATGATAAATATTCGAGCCCACAGATTTGCATCCTATACGTCTATCCCCTACGCATTTTGGGAAAACGAGCGAAGAAATAGGCCAAGTTTTGAGATCGAAATTTCGCCGAAGATATTAAGGGGATACAAAAAAAGTAGTAGTTACAACGTCAGAATCGTCGGTATACATCCGAAAGGCAAACAAATAAGCTCAGAAAGGCTTACTGACAGGACACCGGTCAAAAGTGGAATACTGTCAGGACCGGGATTCGCTCCTTTTGTTGAAAGTTAAGCCAGGACCTTTAGTATTTTATACCAAGACCGGTCGGGCTATCAGTGCGGTATCCCCCGTTAGTGATGTCACTAGGACGCCGAGTACAGGTATGCCAGACTCTTCGTTCCTGACATAGACGGATCCAAGGAGGGGGGAAGTGGTAAAGGGTTTTTGCCTCTTCCTTCCCCCATCCGCAATGGTACAAGCATCAGTGTTGCAAAAGACCGGGTCTTTTGACAAATAAAACTGAAGTAATTCTGAGCAGCAGTGTTACAACTCTATTCCTAGTTTTTGCATAGTTCCAGGGTAGGAGAGGGCTCTCCCTTTCTCCCCCTCCCTCTCT